TTTTTATTCTGACACTGCTCAGAGTGAAAAGGCAAAAGTTTGCTTCTTAATTACCTGGAAGGGGATCAAGAGTGAGGGGTCAGGCTTGCCAAGAGCTCTGTGGTCGGTGACTCGAGACCGTGGGCGGTGGTGGTCGCTGCGGTTGGGTGGCACGGCGGCAGGGGGGGATCACTAAAGGCGAGGGAGATGAGCTGCAGAGACTGGTCGGAAATGAGCAGTCTGGTTAACTTTTTAAAAGTAGATCACCTGAGGAAAGGTTGGTGTTTGCAGTATGGAGGGCGTGCAGCGAGGGAGGGGGGGGTTGTCCGAACATTTTGGGTCTGTTGGGGATTTGGGATTAGCCATCGTCCTGTTCTTTACCAAAATGGAATCTCTTCATACCCTTTCAAAGAAAGGTGAATATAAAAATAGGCCTGTCCAGAAGCGGGTTAGTAATGTAATTTTGAAGGCTGGGATAAATCTGTAGAAAGATTTTTGGGTTTCTTTTTTTAATAATTTTTTTAAACAAACGTAAATCATGATCATTATACATCAGGAAAAAACTGTTTCAGTGGCATCTGTTAATGAAAGGTGAAATACTAATTTTATATTGGGAAAACTGATTAGAATGCCTAATCACCTTCCTCATGAGAGTGGGGGTTTATTGAAAGGAATTTAAAAGATAGCATATCAAAATCAATACAGGAAAGAAGTCTTCATCTAGTCTGCAGTTGCAAACTCTAATTGATACCATATGCTTCAAATCTTACCATTTTTATACCTGCATACTAATATAACAAAAGGCACATGGCTAGCAAGCAACAGTGGGGATAAATGTTTACTTACCATGTTATGCCAAGTGGTTTGTTGGGTTTTGTTACCGTATGCCTAAAAACCTGTGACAGACATCTATGGCCCCTCCCCTTGGTTAGAGACTGGTTAACGGCAATTATTTCTTTATTGCCACCTCCAAAGATTAATTGTGGCATGCAGTGGTGAATAAATACTGGTTCTTTTCCTGGTTCAGTCCCAAGGGCAATTAAGTCGGTTCAAACTGGAGGTCTGTCTGTCTGCTTTTTTTTTTTTTTTTTTTTCTTGGGTTTTTTTTCCCCACCCCCCCCTTTGGCAGGGGACACACACACAGTTCAGGTTCCTGAACTCCCTACCTTCGAGGGAAAGGCAGGTACGCCTCAACCTCGCCTTCATCAGTGCAAGCTGCGGTGCTCCACCAGAGTAATAGTGCCAGAGAACCCCTTCCACCAGGATTCTTGCTTCGGGAAGCTCTGTGCAGGCTCTGTGCTCCTTTACCTGCTTCAGCAGTTACTGTCAACAGGTAGAACACGCAGTTGGGATTCCTAAAACGATGCCGTCTCTTCTAGGCTTGAAGGCCCTCGAAAGCTGAAAAAACTGAGAAATTAGCAAGTGTTTTAGATTGTAAATAAAATTTTGTTACACTTTGAAACATGACTTAATTTCTGGATGCTGGCGATGTAAATCAATAAGTTGTGCTGTTGCATTAATACAGTTTGCAATTTTTTGTGTTCAAGTGTTGAAACATCTTGATTTGCTTTACACATTACAGTGCTATTTTATTTCTGTTCTGTTTACAGCTGATATTATTTCAACAGTTGAATTTAATTACTCTGGTGATCTTCTTGCAACAGGAGACAAAGGTGGCAGAGTGGTTATATTTCAAAGGGAACAAGAGGTCAGTGACTTGAAAAACAAAAGTGCTTTTATTACGCTGTTCTTGTGTTGCACAGTCTCGCTTCATCTTTTCATGCCATGAGGTTTAAATGCTTGGATAGTTTTCTCAGAAACCCTAAGTTAGCCAAATTCCTCAGGATCTGCCTTGTGCTGAACTTGGTAGGTCAGTTTGGTGGTGGTTCCCCTCCCCCCCCCCCCCCTTAAAAAAGTCCCCAAAATACAACAAGTTCTTTATATACGTACTAGTATGCTTAATACCATTTTGCAGAATTGCCTTTGGACTTTCTCTTAAACTTTACAGTATGTCAGGTTGGCCCAAGACAAATTGTAATGCTTTTGAAGATAATGTAGGAAAAGCTTATTAAAAAAGGGTACGTGTTAAGCTGCAAGGACAACAGGATAAGATGGTTCAAAAATGGCAGAATTAAGCATCTGGTGTGTTTTAGGATCCTATGAATCAAAACCAGAGGGAACAGCTACTCCTCTGGAAACACTCGAGCGTTTTCAGTTCAGAGGGTAGGGAGGCTTTCCCTCCTACAGAGCTCAGGGGGCTCTTCGCAGTGCGGGTCGGCTGGGCGGTAGTGCTGTGACGTATTCTGTCCATTCATCAATGCTCATACACCACTGAGCTTTTTATACGCAGAGAAATAGCGTGCATTGGAAAAGCACACCGAATGCTGAAAAATAATTGCCATGCCTGGGAGAAACCTGGAATTGTGTTCTTTAAAAAGGCAATGTTCCACACGGCAGTTCTCACCCTCTCCCCTACCACCAAAGAGCATGTTTATCCTTTCCTTTGAAGAGCCGATGAGAGCTTGGGCCTTTGGTTTTGAGCCTTCCCCTGGATCAGAAGCACCAAAATTGATCGTGGAATTTTAATTCGGCTCGTTTGTGCATGAAGCGTACTAATCTTTCTGTGCTGTGGGGTTTTTTTCAGCAGAATCCCACTTCTTTCATTGTGTGGTTCAAAGGATGCTCAGTTAACAAAGAGCTATCCAGTATTTTGCATTTCATCCTCACTGTGATACTATTTATAAAACATTTTACTAGAGGTGACCTATCCGGTTTACTGTGACTATTTTGAGAGGTAGTGAAACGAAAACACTATTGCTGGAAAAGCTGCTGAAACGTTACACTGGTACACCTAGACAGCTCACCCCTCATTTATCATTTAGTCTGCTGTATAGACTGAACTAAGGCACAGAGATCAAGGTCAAAAGTGTCCACCTGCTCAGATCTCTGACTTCCTTGATGCTTGTTTAGAGGGGAACTATTTATCGGTTAGCTTTCAGCTGTTAGTGCTCAGTTGTTCTGTAAGTCAAAACCCAGCTGTCACGTCATTTCCTCAGAGTGTAAAAAAAAAAAAATAAAATAAAATAAACAAGTCACACTATTCACACGGGAATATCCAACTGTCACCTTGGGAGCATGTGCAAACTGTAGGAAGAGTCGGGCCTAAGAGTCCTTTCTCTTGTCATGTGCAAACCTACAGGCTTTCTGGACTGCAGGAAAAAACCTGAAATAAGTATATAATATTGGAACCTTAGTAAAATCTTACAAGCAATATTTTTAAACGGTGTGAATTTTAGACTAGGATAACTAGGTTAATAACAGCTTAGGACAGTTATGAAATTTCCCGTACCCTTTAGTTTGGGTGGGAAGGCAGGGTGAAATGTTGTGCGTCGTGCCCTGAGCTCATACGACGTTACTGCAGCTCCAGGCAGCTGGTTATGCCACGCAAATGTGAGCGCAAAGAGCGAGGCCGCTGCCTAGTGCCAGACAAAGCAGCTCGCTCAAAAGGCGGGTGGCTAGTAAGTAACGTAGATAACTATATCGGATAGTGGTAGCTGAGAGGATCCTGTCCAAAATGCTTAGAAGTTAAATGACAAGTAGGGAGTAAAGTAACGTGAAGACTCGGCGTTAACCGAAACGCCGTACTTGTGAGAGATCGCAGGAGAGAAAACCCAGCTGAAATAACCTTATCAGAGTTGCCAAGTCAAGCGTGGAAACGTAGGGAAGTGTCAGAGCAAAGGTTGCCTTTGCGGCCTTACGCTGGCCTAGCAGTCTCCGGTGTCAGTCACTACGGCTCGTCCCACGTCACCCACGACCCACGTCCCACGCACCGTGCAGGACAGGCTCTTCGGCGCTGGTTCTTCCCCTGAGGAAGCGATGTGCTGCTTCTCAAGTGAGTGATTTCCAGCGGTGCGGTGGGGAGTTTGGTTTTTTCAGAGGTTCTGGGCACTGCAGCTCTACAAGCGGGGCTGTCCTCCAAACATGAATTGCTGTCTAATGTTAACTCACGTGAAAAGCCTGATAACTAGTTGCCTCAAATCTGATACTGCAAATCTGTGGATACTGTGACTTTGATCTCTGTTCCTTGCTACTGCACCTACCAAATGAGGATCTGCTACAAAGGGCTCTTCCAGTCCTGTGAGGGGAAAAGCTGTTAGTGTATTGGTAATGGGCTTTGGTACACCACGATAAGCACTGCAGAACGGCTTGGATGAAAATGTGGTAATTCCAGCCTTTAAGCTTTTATAATAAAAAAAAAAGTTGTCAAAGCTTAATTACAAGCCTTGATACCACGTCTGGACATGGTGTGTTTTAAAATGAGTAGGAGAGGAGATAGGTCTAATGCTCATACTCGATCTTGCTGTCCCTTCAGCAGAATGACTTGATGCAATCCTATTTTTATAAAAAAACATATTAATTACTCCATGTCCTATGTCCTTTAGCATTGATTTCCTCGCCTGGAAACCCTGCATTATGACCACATGGTGGTGATTAGAGGAATGAGTTTTGGAGGAGGAAGGGAATGGAGATGAGGCGAAGTGCAGAGACTGATCCCATGGAGGTGGTGGTTTAGGGTTTAGGGCGTAGCAACTTCCCTGCTCCAGTTCTGTTGATGGCGCCTGGGAGAGGTAGCGTAGCCCAGGACTCTTCCAAGCAAAGCAGGCGCTCCTTTGCGGACAGCCTGCCTCCTTGAAGTGCTTTGATATGTTATGTTCTAGGAAGACACGCATATTTCTATACAATGATACATTTTTAAAACAGAAGTCTGTGTTGATGCTAATATTGATGCTAAACTAGATACAGTATCAGAGTGTAAATGTAAATTTCATCCAGAGCTGTTGTAAAAAGTTTACTTTGTAATTGCCAATGTCTAGTCATTCGTTTCTGTGTACAATTCCTAATGATCCGAGTAATGTCAACTTCAAGAAATATTATGTTTCCTTGCAGAATAAAAGCCGTCCTCATTCTAGGGGAGAATATAATGTTTACAGTACCTTTCAGAGTCATGAACCTGAGTTTGACTACTTGAAAAGTCTAGAAATTGAGGAAAAAATTAATAAAATTAGGTGGTTACCACAACAGAATGCTGCTCATTTCCTGCTGTCTACAAATGGTAAGGACGCTTTTATTTTTGCACAAACAACTTATGTCGTTTGAACATTATCTCACCTGTGATCCACTTGGGGGGTTCTCTGGAGTGTTTTGGGTTATTTAATGTCTTCTGTAATTATATGCAAAATATGTTTTTATTGTAATACTCTGTAAATTACTGATTGCGAATATAAAAATAATGAAGCAGCAACAGAATAGGCATAGTTAGAGCTGCGTTCTGCGGATATACTGACCATGCTATCCCTTTACATACCCTGTTACTCCGCTTTATGGTTCTTGTATAAACGGGTGCCCAGGATGCTGAACTGTAGCAGAAGTCTGAATGTGACTTGATCATCCTGATTTTGAAATTATTTTTTTGTGTGTGATCCTAGGTGAATTTTTAATAAAAGCATTTGAAAACAGAGTGGTTACAATGCTAGTTTGCTTTTCCAATGCCAAGCATCATGTGTGCTTTGAAAAGCAACTGTTTAAAAGACAACAGTCACTCTAGGAAGAGTGTATTTATACCATTGTCACTGTGTATCTTAGAGTACATAAAAGCAGTGCAAAAATTACAAGCTGGGAATTACAAGTTTTCACGCACTTTTTTTTTTTTATTTCTTTCTTCCAGTATTTTAGTAGTGGTTATTAGGTATTAGCTCTGTATGAGCACTAGCTCTGTTTATTTTGACGCATCGTGGAGCAAGCCATAAATGTAAGTGCAGAACTGCGCATGGAAGAACTTGCTCGTGTTGTCAGAGGAATACGCTTGTTCCTAACAGATTGGGTGACTTTTTGCCTTGTATTTAAATGACTTTGTGTAAGGGCTGATGTCCTACCTGCTATATGAAATTCTAAAAGCGGGAATGACTCCTGTCTGCTGGACTTTGAAATTCAAATAATAGTACTGTGATAGAAGTCTTAGTAAACTTAAAGCAGTCTTTAAACTGTCATCTTAAATGCTTTGAAGATCTGCAGTAGTTTGGGGAGGAGAGGTTTGTTTCCAGTTAGCTAAGGAGCTCACTCTTGGTCTGTGCTTACTATGTGCTTGGAAGGACTCCCCTGGTAGGACCTGGGAAGTACGTGCCTTTGGACATGGAACCCTAAAATAATGGGGCAAGTCCCATTCTCACTTACTGCCTTTGCTTCTCTCTCTTAGCAGACACCTGGGACAAACTTGGTTGTCCTTAAGGTAGTTAGTGTAAGTAATTCATGGGTTGTGGGGGGTTTTTTTTGCCCCCTTGCATTTATCCGTTACAAATTATTTAGATAGTCATACAGGGCTTACTGGTGAACTTTGGTATTTTGTGTGTGAATTTACCTTGGGAAGAGTGATTCTGGTGAATGGTAGGCCTAGGGCTTTATTGTTCAGGCAGAAACTTGTATTTTATTCAAACTGAACGTTACATTGGAGTTAAAATGGAATCCATCTTTTTTTCCTCTCTGTTGACTGCTATTTTTGTGCATTTCCCATCCGCATCCTCCAGGTGCGTGGGTTTTTCCATGTATCGGTTCTTCCTAAGCAGTACAGCTGAAGGCAAAGCACGTCAAGTACGCTCCATGTGACACTGTTGTCTAAAGGACTCCAGCAGGGGCCTTTCTGTTGCAAGCAGAGGAAACCCAGAGAGATAAATAATATCCACTCTGCTGACTCCATTACTTAGTGATTTTATTTTGAATTTAATTCATTCTCAAGCCTGTGAATTTTTGTTGATTTTAGATAAAACTATTAAATTATGGAAAATAAGTGAAAGGGATAAAAGAGCCGAAGGTTATAATTTAAAAGATGAAGATGGAAGACTTAGGGATCCTTTCAGAATCACAGCACTACGGGTATGTTTCTGCTCTTTGACTTCAAATATGTTTTTGCATGTACTTCTCTGCCTTTCTATCACCAAAGTTGTCAACTGACATGTGTAGAGTAAAAATGCTGCTTTGGTCAGGGTCACTGAAAACTTCTACTAGAAATGGAGACACTTCATTATGCATATATAACTATTAAATTAGGTTCCTCTGGAAAACTTCAGGCAAAATTCCATTATTATAATGTTACATTATTAGCTTCCCGATAGTTAGTTGGGTTTCTGTCTTGGAACATCTTAGCATATTTAACTTTTTTTAAAATTAAAGTATTTTGTTAGATAGCCTTCATCCACCTCAGTCTATTCAAATTGTAGAAGAAGGTAGACTTGTTTATTGACAGCAATAAAAGATAGCAACATTTTGTTATACAAGCCTGAAAACCCAGCATTTTGGAGTATCTGTCTGGGGCCACACTGCTCTGTACTCAGTTCACAGAAACCATGGACGACTCCTGCTCTGTTCTTAAAATAGTCTGATGCTGTGGTGCACCCTGTAGAACAGTGCAGGGGACACACTTATTTAAGAGACCCATAACTTCCCCTCCTGGCCGCACCTCGTCAGTAGAGGGTGGTGCTGTGGTGTCTGTGCCCCTGGCTGGTGAGGAGGAGGAGGAGGTGCCCCAGTGAACATTTACATCCTCCCGGGGTGCTGCTCCGCGGAACGGGCAGGTAGGGTCCTTCTGTTTGGCTTAAAGCACCTGCCATTGGGAAATTGAGAAGAATTGGGCTCTGATCATACTGATGAATTTTTTTTCCTCAATATTGCTCAGACTGAACTTGTTTGGTCTTTTTTCTAAGAACAAGACCCAAAAATTTAAACAGGGTGCTGGGTATTCTGTGGTTAGGTACCAGGCGTTTCTGTTAGAGGGAAACGCTGAGCACTGGGAAAACCTGGTGTATACTTGAATAGACTTGCCATTTTTCCACTTGCATAGTGGTGCAGTGGTAGGGTTGGTGCTCCAGACTCGGGGTCGTTTAGAGCAGGAGCTCAGGAAACGAAAGCATGTGGGGTTGGGGTTTTTCTTGTACTGTAAATAGGAGTTGAACTGAGGCTTTTGCTACTTTCAAAGCCAGTGCCACTCCTGACACTTGTAGGGACTATAGAGTTATGTGGTTTTGTTGGGGGGTTTTGCCTTGCTTCTGCTCAAATTGAATATTGAACTGACATATATGTAAGCATAATGCATAATGGCGTTGGGAAAGGATAGCCGCTTCCTCTGGAAAGTGTCTTTCTGCTTAGCATGTGGGAGCCAAGATCTGATTGAGTATTCTAATTAAAATATCTAAACCCAAGAAAATAAATTGTGATACAATGCCTTAGCCCAGTGCCTGGAAGTAGGTACAGGTGAAATTTGGGGTTCTACAGCCTTGCCCTTATGTAGGAGCAGACTCCCCTTCTGGGAACACGGAGACTCCAGAACACGGCCTAATGGTTTTACAAGGTACTGGCTGCATCCCTGAAGGAGTACGGTAGCATCTACCTGTAAAAATATTACACCGTAATATATTTAGGAATTGTCCAGCTGAACGGGGGGAAGCAACAAAAAGCAAGAACCTCTGTCTTAAAACTTCATCTTCTAAATTTGCTGCTTTTCTGGGAAAGGGAGGTTGGGCTGAGCTGCAGGACCTTGCCAGGCACTGCACCTTGCAGGAAGAGATGATGGGATGAACCAAGTCTGAGCAACAAGTGGCAGAAGAGGAAAAACCTTTGCCTAGAGTTACTGCCATATGTTAAAATGATCAGGTTTTAGAGATCTAGAGTGTATGTGCCTTGGGCTCTTACGGGCTTTGTTTGCAGATTTTGTTACAGACCTATGATCCCCATTTGTTTGTTAAGAAGTAGACACAGAGGAGAAGCAGCACTTCAGAGCTGCATCCTTTGCATAAAGACTGTGGCATTTCTCAGTACCATTCCTGATCATTCCAATTAATGCATTTTTGATTTTACAGCCAGGCTAGGAACACTCATACGGTGAGATAGGAAAATTGCCTAATAAACATAATGGATTAATTTTAATCATTACAGTTTGATGTAAACAGACTGTGAGACACAAACATGGTGAAAGCAATTACAGAGCTCTTGAATTAATTTGTTTCTTTTTCCAGGAAGACAGCTTATCTTAGACACTGTCATAACTTTTTTCTTGGTTGGATGATGTAAGTTAGTATTCCGTTGAATTGTATGTACTGGAACAGCGTAGGACGTCCTTGAGCAACCTTAAACTACTCACCTGCTGGTCAGTGAGGAGCTGGAGGGAAGCTTAATCCTCCTGACCCTGACAAACCATGTCAGCCTTTAGATCAGCTGGGTGTGGAAATAGGGCATCCGTGTGTTCCTAAAATTGTACTGACCATTCAGTGAACACATCGGGGGTTTTCTTTGCAAACTGTTCTTTCCAATTTCACAAGCACCCCTCTAAGATGTGGGGGGCGTTTTTAAGTGCTTGTTTCAAATTAACATCATCTTCTAATACCATTAGAAACATGTACCCTTTTCCTGTTGGATGAGGTCCAAAGCTGCTGTATTTGACAAGTAACTTCTGCAGAGGTCAGTTAGGGTTTGTGTTGGTAGTATGCAAAGCCAGCATTCATAGGCTATTTTATTACTTTTCTTGCTCCTTGGATTTGAAAAGTGTTTTAATCGCTAAATCAAAACACAAATCTGTGGCGTGCAACAAATTAATATCTTCTGAATCAGAAATCAGTTTTATGCTGATAATTGACTGTTCTTTTTCATGTTTCAGGTGCCAATATTGAAACCCATGGACCTAATGGTAGAAGCAAGTCCCAGAAGGATATTTGCGAATGCACATACTTATCACATAAACTCTATTTCAGTAAATAGTGATCATGAAACATACCTTTCTGCAGATGACCTAAGAATTAACCTATGGCACTTAGAAATCACAGATAGAAGTTTTAGTATCCTTTTTTTGTTCTCTGTGAGCACTGGGGCACATCTAAGTTGTGTATGTTTAAGAGAATCAGTTCAATTTTACTAATTGGAGTAGGTGTCTGAATCTAGGGATTAAAATACACGATTCTAAAATCTGGACGTTTAATACAGTGAAAGCAGGCCTTAGGGTGCTCTCATTTGTTCTTCAGCGCAAGCGTTCTTTCAGTGGAAAACTGCCAGTAGAAATACAGATCGTTTGATTTCTAAAGAGAAACTGAGGAATTTGGGGAGCATCCTTTATTTGTGGAGTTCGGTCAACTTAAATAAGAGTTGAAAGATTTGAAAAGTAGATCCTTTGTTACTGCAGATGCTTCTTTCCAGAGTTTAAGGTCTCTTAGCAAGGTGACACTTTTCTTAAAGAAATTTAATTTTTTTTTCCATGTCAAATGATATCATTAACTGCAGAAATAATTTTCAAATCTCTTTGCACGTCTGTGTATCCAAAACTAATAGCATGGCCTACACTGACAAACCTGCAGTAAAACAAAAGATTTAGAAACACTGAATACTAAATAGGTCATATGCAAGGGGGGTTTTTAAGCTTTAGGTAAATAGCTGAGGTATATTCAGTGTTCAATAGGAAGCATTGAGAAGGAGGCTTGAGAAGAGTCTGAAATTATCTCCAGCATCTGTTAAAGTTTATTTGTAAAATCTAGGTTGTATGTATTTATTTTTACATCTACTCAGGTCACTTTACTATTGTGTAGATTGCACACGGTGGAAATTAAGATCTTGGCCTGGTTTTCTACATTGTACTTCTAACATTTTTTTTATTTTTTTTTTTTAACAATTGTCTGCTAGAAGTGATTTGACTGTGAAATGTTACATGTCTTTACAAAAACCTGCCCAGATATTGTAGATATTAAGCCTGCTAACATGGAGGAGCTGACAGAAGTGATTACTGCTGCAGAGTTCCACCCTCATCACTGTAACGTGTTCGTCTACAGTAGTAGCAAGGGAACTATTCGACTCTGTGACATGCGTTCCTCAGCCCTCTGTGATAGGCATTCAAAATGTAAGTCAGGATGCGTCTTTGGCTCATGGGTTTCTTGCTTTGTTTTCATGCGAGATAGAGTGTATAGGTGTTCTGCTTATAAATAAACATACCGAGTTCTGCTTATTGGTAAAGAGCATACAAGGTAAGGGGTGGTAGTTTTGTAGAATGGAACATTTTAATTGTCTTGTTCTAGGCCATCAACAAGCAGAAGTGTAGCATGAGACAATTGACGATCTGACTCTGCTCCTGTTTACCCATTTATGCATCATAAACTGATGGGAACAAGTGCTTTTGGCACCAGTGAGACCTGTCTTCTGTCCAGACTCAGTCTTGGTGCTTCTCAAAGGTATCTGCTTATCAAATGCCAGTTCAGGGCAGTTTATTCACCTTTGTGCATTAGAAACTGGGCTGATGCTGCCAGCATCCATTTACTTTGTGACCATTCGCAGCTCCTAGGTTAGAATTAATTCGTAAGAATACGCGCTGTGTTTGAAGTGAGTTTCCAAGAGTGAAAGGTGAATGCGCTTTAGTCTGCTGAGGCACGTAAACTCCTGTGGGTGAGGCAGGCTTTTCCGTTGAAGTCGTGAGGATAACTGCCCACGCCTTGCACGCAGCCCCTTGTTTCTTGTTCGCTGCTGTAATAGTTGTGGTTCATTAGCACTGCTAGTCCCGTGGGGTGACCTACCATACTGATATTTGCAGGTAAGCTTTCTGTAGTGCAGATAAGGTTTTCTTGTCAGAAGGAAATATGTGTGCAATGGGAACTGTAGAATGCTAGGCCACTTCATCTGTTTGACTTAGTGCTGCTTTATATCGCTTAGAAGCACTTTATTTCTTAACTGCTTGTCACTGAATAACATCCTGTTAAAAGGGGTCTATTCAAAAATGAAATAAATAGTTCTGGGGAGTTTGTGTTGTGAAACGTTGACTTTTAAGATTGACTCTTCAATTTAAATAATGTATTTCTTTATCTGCTTCCTAAAACCATACAAATTGCATCTCAAGTGTAGGTACTAAGATTTCATTTCACTAGGTTGTGTTGTGCAACTTGTTCAGATCTAAAGAAAAGTACGTTGCGCAGTGTGGGTCATGCATTAAGGTACTGATGCTGGTGTTTCCACTTGCTCTTGTTTGACACCATTTGTAGACAGTTGTAGAGTTCACTGTACCCATGTGCTGTTTTTTTAACTTTTTTACTCCAATTCATCCCCAGATTGTAGTTTGATGCTGTGCTCCAGTTGAGAATGTTGGAGATGGGCATCTAGCAATCTGATGGCTAGGAGCGTGACATTGCTTAAAAGAATTATTTCTAAAGAGATTAGTTCTAAAAAGTATTTAACAGCAACTTTCTTTAAAAAGAAACTAGAATATTGATTTAAAATTTTCCAAGTATCGAAAAACGTTCAAAGCTGTAAAACTTGGTGTTGGTTTCATTTGTAATTGTGTCTTCTGCCTACAGTTTTTGAAGAACCTGAGGATCCTAGCAGCAGATCATTTTTTTCAGAAATAATATCATCGATATCTGATGTAAAATTCAGTCACAGCGGTCGATACATGATGACGAGAGACTACCTTTCTGTTAAAGTGTGGGATCTCAATATGGAAAACAGGCCTGTAGAGACATATCAAGTATGGTGTTCAAGTTCTCTTAAGAATCCCTTCCTTTCCCTTTTCTTCTCTTTCTTTATACCTAATACCCATTTAAATGTTCCACAAAGGTTCATGAGTACCTTCGAAGCAAGCTTTGTTCCCTTTACGAAAATGACTGCATCTTCGACAAATTTGAATGCTGCTGGAACGGTTCTGATAGGTAAGTTGGGGGTTTTGTTCTGGTCTTTTGTTTTTCCCTCAGCATTAGGGATGTGGGGTTTCAGTCCTGAAGCCCATAGCAGCACTTTAAGGATGTGATTAGTTACATTCAAACCAACTGGGGTTTTTGCAAAAGGACTTCGTTCTTCAGTCCTTTACCCTCCAGTTGCAGAAGTGGAATAAACTTCTGTGTGTCAGTCTGCTTCTGATATGAGTTATCGCTGAAGGTCTGTAGCCTCAAGACTGGCCATTTCAAGCCACAAAAACGTGACTGGGGTTCATTCTTTAAGTGTGTACAGGAATGTGCATTCGGTGTCTTGCAATCTGAATCTTCTTTCCGTGTTTTCTGTAGGCTCAGGCAGATAAAACTGTGTTAGATAATTACTCATGCTTGCTGCAAACAGTGGCAATGCCTGTCTGCAAGTTGCAGAGGCGTTCTACTGGGATGGCAGAGCCACTGTGCTGGTGCACATGGCGTGTGTTTCCTGTTGCTAGCTGGGGCAATGTTGGCTACCTGTGAAAATGCCTTCTGAACCCATGGATAAGATCGTGGCAGATCAGGATCTTTTATCTGGATGCTTTGTGTTGGCTTGCCTCGGGGATTATTTTTTTTTTTTTTTTTTTTTTTTTGGTACCAGTTTTATGAGTATACCTGAAATACCCAAAGCAGTGACTTGTCTGCTGCCAAATGCTTACAAGCTGTCCAGCAAAAAGGGATCTGGTTTTGCCGTTCACAGGAGCAGCCTGTGAAACAAGCTTTGGCCTAAACCTTATGAAATACCGAGGAACAAAAGATCCGCCGCATAGCTTAGATGGGGACAGTGATCGGGGAAGTCAAATCTCGTAACCTGTGCAGAGGAGTCAGCAAAGAAAGTGAAACCTGCCTGCCTTGCTGCTGCCGTGATGGCTGAGGTTGCGCGTACTGCTACACACCAGTTACCTACTAATTTAAGTAAACTGTATTAAAGAAAACTGGTTACTCTAAATACCAGGTTGCAAGTGGCTTTGAGTTACTGAGGGGAGAAATCGTACCCTATCAGTCACTTTACAAAAAAAAAAAAAAACAAATTCCCAGCAGTATTTCCAATATCTAACACAAAATGCATAAAATAAGTGGTGTGCGTTTTTCACTAAGCTAAAACGCAAGGGAACCGAGCCTTATTTCTGTGGGGGTTTTTTTCAAGCAACTCCAGTCAATCTTTTTGTGGAGGGGGGAAAAAAAAAAAAGTCAAAGCAAGGTCATCTCATTGTAATATATAAACATAAGTTGTCATAGAAGTTGTGGTGCTCACCTCCCTTTGAAAAAGGAAAAAATATTTTGCTCAGTGCATTCCCTAGTGCAGTCTGAGTGGGTTATGTCGTGGTAATAGCATCTCGCTCTCTTCCTGGTCGTTAACTTTTTAATGCCACAAAGACCATGTGTATCAGCAAATGAGGTGACAAGGCTGAGGTGGTTGTGATTTTGACAATCTGTGGGACTTCTGCCACGTGGGAAATGGCTTTTCCAGTTTCAAGCGGTAGAGATAAGTGTTCAATACAGAAAATAACGAACAACTCGGCCTCAACGTCAAGCATGTTTTTTGTGAGATCTGCAAACAAGCTGGTCATTGGAAGTTAGGGATACAAAAGCATTTTCAGAGGTGAATTTTCTTCTGCCTCGTTCTTCTGCCTGCTTTACCCGGAGGGCGGGACTAGATGCTCTCCCAAGGTCCCCTCCAACCCCTGCCATTCTGGGATCCTGTGGAAAGCAAATCTGATACTGTACAGAAACTCTGAATTGTTTCTGCAGGGCTGGGTCAGGCATTCACACAAGGGCTTTCTTTTACTGATTCAAGACAATTTTTCATAATTAATCCATTGGCGTGCTCATTGTCAGCATGTCCACGGTGCCAAGGCAGGCGCTTTTGTTTGTCTGCTGAAATGAAGCGGTTTGCAGAGGCTTTGCTTCCACCGTGACTTCTGTTGCCACGGGATGAGGGGATAGAGTAGCGAGGGGAAAACCCGCTTGCTCACGTTAGGGTGAATAAAATGCAAGGCTACTGCTGAGTGCCAGTGGCTGGGAGGGGGGGACCAGGGAAAGACCTGGAGGAGAAGGTGGTGGAGTGGAAGCAGTGCTGAAGTCCAGACATGGAATTGAGCAAAGGTATTCATCGGAGAGGAAAGGAGGGTAACGCCACGTTCTGGCCGTGAACTTTGTGGCTTTGTGTGTCAGAGAGAGAAGATGGCGGTTGAATACTCTTTCTGGAAACCAATTAAGCGTTGCCTTTCTTCTGCTTCTCAACAGCGCTATCATGACTGGATCTTACAACAATTTCTTTAGAATGTTTGACCGAAACACACGACGGGATATCACCCTAGAAGCATCCAGGGAGAGCAGCAAACCTCGTGCCATCTTGAAGCCGCGTAAAGTGTGTACAGGTGGTAAAAGAAAGAAGGATGAAATAAGCGTTGACAGTCTGGACTTCAACAAGAAGATTCTTCATACAGCGTGGCATCCCATGGAGAACATCATTGCTGTAGCTGCCACCAATAATTTGTATATATTCCAGGACAAAATTAACTAAAGATGACTTACCTGAGGACAGTCTCGTCATCTTGCATAGTTAAGCTCAGTTGTTTATCTGTAAATGAGAAGGCCTTGTTGTCCTACCAGTGAAGAACATTGATGCACTTACTTCCCTTTAGATAAAGGAGAGGATCTGGCCTGGGGTTTGAGTTCACGGTGTAGTTCTGCCTTCGGTGGGGGTAGGGAGCGTCGGTCGCAGTTTTCTGGGAGACACCCTCTAGAGGCAGAATCGATGGACAGTGCTCGGTAAGGCCAATACTCAACACAAATGTATTTATTTCAGTCTGAGCCTTCCTTTCCAGTTTATAGACCAAAAATTTAACACCCAAGAAGAAAAAATTGTCATAAAAATGTAATTTCTATCTCTCGCGCTCTTTCTCTGCTGTAATATTTGGGCCTTTCAAAACATATATTGTGCTTAACGCCTGTAAACATTCCTCCTCTGGCCTGTATCTAGGCTTAGGTGTTTTTACCTTTGAGCACTTAGGTAGGTCTTGAGTTGGGTTCGTAGACAGGTTTCCATGAATATTTACTCACCAACTGTATCTATAACCACACCTTCTGGTGTAAACCACTTAATAAAATAACAAGCTATAAAAAGTGTTTTTAAATCTGAAGGTATGTATTCAGTCTTTTTTTTTTTTTTTTTTTTTTTAATTGCATGTACTGAGATTGTGCAAAATAATTCCGATGGGCAGATCGGACAAGGTTTGCCCCAAAACACTGATTTTTGGCAGACTAATACAGACTTTTTTTTGTGTAGTCTTTCAAATTCTAAATTGAGAGTTTCTATGAAATTGTCGGTTAGTTTAAGTTGCACTGGTTTTCTTGTCAAATGCTGTCTGTGTGCCCAGCAGGAGATGGAAAAGGTTAGCATAGACACGTCCACAGCCTTAACAGAAAGCGACCGCCTCGCACAGAAGGGAAAACAAAACGTTTAACAAATTCTTCTCCTTTGAAGAGAAAAGCTCCCTTTTTCTGATGCCTCTCGACGTTCGATAGAGACATAACCTGACGTGCATTATGGTTTTTTAACCTTTTTAGTATTTGTCACGAAGGTAGTTTATTTTAAATATTCTGTGTAATATATTGTATTCCACATTGCAGGTCAAGCCAGCAAAAAAACAAAACAAAACAAAAAAAAAAAAACAAAAATCTTGCTTATGCCAAGCAGCAGCGCAGGTTAACGCCTTCTAGCACGCTGCGACGTCAACGCCGAGGTGTCAGGGAACAGTGAGGCTACGAGCTGGCGTTACCTGCGGTGGCTCTAACTCCGTTCTTGCTAACGTTTTTTTAAGCCTTAGGTACTTTTTTTTTTTTTGGTTTGTTTTTTTTTTTCTTCTTTTTTTTCTTTCTCCTCCAAAGAGGCCTAGAATGCCTCAGCCCTCCCCTCGCCCTCGGCTAGCCGGGGTGAGAAGCCGTCCCGAAGCCGTTGCAGCACGTTGTAGGGGCACCGAGGAGCTAGAGGCCACGCTCTGTGAAATGTGCCTGCAAATCAGAAACCCTTGCTGAGAAACGAGATCCCTCGAGCGTCCCAGAGGAAATGACAGCAGTGGGGGTTACGCTCCCGTTTTCTTGAAATGAAGGTGTGTTACGATTGCGGGCTCGGATCCGCGTAGGCAAGAGCGAAACGTCTCCGGCCTTACCCTCCCGATTCCTGTCCGTAGAGTGCCACTCGTGCCCACAGTAAGCTAGTAGGTACAGCTAACCCGGAGGTTCTACAAATAACGCTTAAATGAAGAAAAAAACAAAAAAAAACCCCAAACCTTATCCTGTATATTGGTTGTGACACTATTTGAAAACTCTTGAAACGCGGAACTCCCGGGTCACGAACGCGTGAGATTTGACCTTGTTCCTCAGATACCGAGCAGAGCGGGTGCGGTGGGGTTGTACATACTTGTTCATTTATTTTGACCAAAAAGTTTAATAAATTTTAAATGTTTACCTGGACTTGCTCTGTGTATTTTGACGACGTTTCCTTCCGTTTGTGAGGGCGATGGGCGAAATGAGCCCGCCTGAAGATTGTTTGTGTCTCCGTTTTAAGCGGTTGGTTTCCGCATGGTCGTACCTCTCGCTCAGAGCTGCCTGTTCATACGCAGTGAATCTATTAGTGCTGTCTATTTTTGATCTATTTTTTCAGCAGATGTAAGTGGAATATGAGTAAAAAGAAAAAGGACATGATGAAATCTTCTATTATATGAAACGTGATTTGCTTGTACCACTTTCAATTAAATAGTTTTTGATGACTAATGACACTTCTATCACGTCATTTTCTCGAAAACCAGGTTGTATTGCCCGTTTGATTAAAATTACTGTTTTTTCAGATACTTGCCCGACACCACCCTTGACTTCTGGGACCGGCCCAAGAGCCTTGCGCTGCTCGCCCTTAGAATTCCCCGAAGGGTTAACCTCCAGGAGCCGGAGCGTCTGGTCGGGTGGTAGGGATCAGTGCTTGGCTGCCAGGCGCGCGTCCGGACGGGCTGCGTCCCCCGCGCGGAGCCGCCCTTCGGCGGGCGTTCCCCCACGGTGAGCTGGCTCCAGGCCGCCCTTGGTTCCGCGGAAGGAGCTGGAAGAGCAGCGGTTGCCTGTGCTAGAGCTGAGGTAAGGGCCCCGACACTCGTTTTGAGCAACGACGAGTCCCGAGCGCCCTTGGCTGGGGCTGAGGGAACGTCGCCGACCGCAGGCAGCTGCTGGGAGCCCGGGGGGGCTTTGTGCACATCCGCACGTCGCGGGCTGGCGCGCGTGGTGTAAACCGTCGGCATAGTTGCCCTTCGGCGAGCAGAACGTAGGCGTCTGTGGTAACGGTAGTCACTGGCTACCTGGAGAAGGGGTGGTGGGAGAAGGTGAACCACCCTCAGGGGTCTGCGCTTCCTCCCAGGGGTGGGTTCGGCAAGTGCAGGAGCGGGAGTTAAGGCTGAATTCCGTTGTGATTTTACACGGACCACAGATGCACAGACTGGGAGAACTGGACTTCCCATGGAAGTGGCTCCAGAAAAAAAACACGTTGGTGAGGCGCAGAAAGAGATTGGGCAGGGGGGCGCAGGTGTAAATACAGCCCCGGGGGGTTCCGTGTGGATGCACAGCGGTTTCTGGAAACCTGGAAGTGAGGTCCAGGCATCAGCTCCAGCCCCTGGGCCGGTGGGGGGGGGC